TTATTGCCTCAACTTTCCAATCAATGGCCATTAGAGCAAAGAGAAGGTCACAGAGAAGAGCAACTTACTCAGACCTCATCTGGAACACAACGCTGAATATGATGGACATCAGAGTGGAGTCAGAGAGGCTGATGTGCAAGCTAATGCTTGGCTGAAGAATAAGGAATGAACTGTGAAGTCAACCAATAGTAACTGGTCTACTGAAGCATGGCTGGGGACAATAAGTAGAGCCTGAGCCTGCATGGGTTAATGCACAAGAAGATTTGGACAGATTTTATACAGATTATTTAGACTAAGAGACACAAAGAACTTAAATAAAAACTAAACTCAGTTTTTGAATACAGTAAACTAAACTCAGTTCTTGAATACAGTAAAACAGTATTGTTTGATGAACACTGAAAATAGTGTGAAGCTGCTGGGAGGAAAATCTCTATTGCATCGATTTTCTTTACAATTCCAATTGTTTCTCCAACAGTCAGAAGAAGATGGAATAAACAGTTCACTGAAGGGGCCAGCCAGCCAGCCAGCACTGCTCCACAGAACTGCCAAGAAAACAGATTTCAAACATGCAGCGTCTCTGACAATTTTTAGCTGGCACCTTCTCAGATGAGCGTGGAAGCCAATTGGTATGACAGCAGAACGGAGACAATGTAATTGGCTGGATGATGTCAGTCACATGAGGGCACGGGGGGAGGACGGGTGTCTGTGCCATCTGGGTGTCCGTCAGCAAACCGTTAGATAATCCCGGGGTCCGTCTACGCTCTGTCCTGGTGACAACTGCTGCTAGCCGATTTGCCCCGTTTTGGGATCGGTGACACATTCACACAACAAGGCAGCTCATGCTGGAACAACTGACTCCATCAGCAAAATATTAACTTTAAAATTATTTTCTTTAAAAAAAACTAAAAGGGATTGCGCAATTTTTCTGTTTCGTAAATACATTGCATATTTATGAAACGTAATGTGAGTGACATGGAATTAGAATTCAGTCACAATACTTTATGGTATTATTGTGATTATGATCAATTCTAAAAATATTTCAGGAAACTAAAAAATATAGCACTCCATAGAAACTCAATCATAGCATCAGGAATAATTGGCTCTTGAAAAACATTTCCATTTGAAACAAACTTCTTCACATTGGTGTGAAAATTTGGGCCAATCGTAATATCCAATATTAATATTGCTGTTAATGCCAATAACAGATTTTATATATTTGGGGGGGAAATGACCAGAACAGACAGCAACAAGATAAAAATAAATAGTTTGTTCACCTCAGTTCAGTTTTATTTTTTGGATCGGCACAATATATTTTAAAAACTGACAAATATCGGCTGGTACCCATATCAGTGCTGATATATTAGGAATTCCTATGGCGTTTAATCATATTTATCGAGTTTACTAATATGTAATGAGGCTTCTGTGGAACAGTGGAGAAAATATCAGAAAAATGTCCAATCATGCTGTCAGTTTTGTTTTATACTCACCATCAAGATTCTTATAATAAATTATCTGCGGTTCATGATCAGCGATACGATAACTGCCCACCTCAACTGAAAGTTAAATGTATATATATTTTGAAATCAAGCACATTATTTTCGTAATAAATAGGACTGTTTGCAGGAGATCCAACACACACAAAAAAAAAGACTTTTAAAACAACTGGATCAACATCACTACCAAATAAGAGGTGGGGGAGATCAAATCTAGGCTATAGGAGTTTAGCATATTATGATTAAACCAAATTAATCAATCTAATATGATGAAAAAAAAACATCATATTGGATGGCATCCCAAAACAAGCTAACAATGACAGGACAAGGGTAGCGAGACATAGATAAATTAGTGCAGTTACAATATTTCTGTCAGCAAACTTGGAATGGAAAAGGAAAAGTTGAAATGTCTCTGCAAAAGCTGAAAACAATATTTTCTGCTACCTGAGCTTCTTATTGTTCAGACACATTTCTCATAAATCGAGGAAGCAGACAAAGAGTGTGCAGTTTCACCAACACAACTTCTAACCAGTACTGAAGGCCTTTGTGTGGGAGGGCGGCTGGGCCAGACAACTACCAACAGCTGCCTCAGTCCATAACCAAATGCACAGGGAATGGAAAAAAAAAGAAAAGTATCCACAAATCCACACAGTCTCCCACGCAAACAGAAGCCTTACAGAAATTCATGCACACAAACACACAGTGCTGCCTCTGTCTGGCTATCCCTGGTATCCTGTAAGGCAATCCACAAATCAGTAACAGTTCATTTCAGTTCAGTGCTGTCCTTTCCAAGATCACTAAACCATCAACAGATTTTTTTTAATTTCCACAGCACACATTGATAGAGATTCTACCTAGGTCTTATTTGTTAACCTTGAAAGCTTGAGGAGCCGGCTAAGAAGCCGTCTTACAATTAGCATTTCAAACACTACGTTTCCTTTTGCCAGGATGCGTCATTGTGTCAAAGGTAGTTATCCTTTAGATTTTGGCAGTATTTCCCCCATGTCTGTTCCTCATACAACCCTTCCCCCCAAAATCCTTCCGCTTGCCAATTTCCGTCGGTCCCACAGGGAAAAAAATGGTCTGAAAATACCACAGAATTGTTCTATTTTTGCACAAGCTATGTGTAAACAAGAAAAGGCTGGGCCTAAAAAGAGCCTTCCTAAACATTTTCTCCTTTGAAACAACTCAGCCAGTCAAGGCAGCCTGAAAGAGGAGTAGACTCAAGAGTGAGATGGAAGAGGCTGCTTTAACTTGATTCATCTTAGCTGACTGATCGCTGGAGCGGCGGGAGGTCAGGGACTTAGGAAGGAGGCGACGGCAGGAGAAAGAGGTTGTCATCAAATGACAGGAAACAGCCAGCAGGGTTAATCTCTTTCTTGTGCAAAAAAAGGGATCCTACACATATTTTATGCTAACGGTTTATACTATTCCAAACTAAGGGTCTTCAAACTAATTGGAAAACCTCTTCCTTCTCAACAAAATGTAAACAAATATGAAGCTGTGTCAGATTTTATTAGGACTTCACTTTTGTCGTTGGTAAAAGACCTTGAGACATTTCACCTACTAGTGCTGGAGACACAGGTTTGTTTTGGTTATATTTACTGAAAAGTGCTGCTTTTGGAGTGGTCTCTGGTCAGCTTGCATTAACATATGAATTCAAACCACACCAGAGTTCACTTCAACCGAATTAAGACCTAGGATTTTAGGCGGACCAGAGTTCGCCTAAAAATTAAAAAAAAAATAAAAAAATCAAGGCTAAAATACTGCCTTTGTTGTTTTTTTTCTTCACATTCTATACATTTATGCATCTTTATGTTATTTTACTCTTATAATAAACACTTGTAGCCCTCTTTATGTACTGTAACTATTGCCAAACTGGCAAGATTTTTGACTCAAACTGATGGGAGGCGACACAAGTTGTGCCACACTTAATCCTCCTGCAAAGTGACAATCCCTTCGACTGGAGGAAGCCATGTCTGAATACTCCCCAAGACTGGCAAGCAGGATAAAATGCTGACAGTGAAAAGCCTGGTATTAGTGGAAAAAAAAATCTAAAAAAAGATTAATATGGAAAATCCTAATAGCAGAAAGTAGCTGCTTGGAGCCAGACAAAGGAGAGAAAATCCGTCTCCAGTCATGCCGTATGCATAATTCAGTGAGTGGAAAGAGACAAATTTGACATGTAATGCTTCCCTCAACACCAAGAAACAGAGCAAACAGTCTAATTCGGCTTCAATTGGATAAAAAACAAACATGTGCTTCCTCCATTGCCAGCTTGCATTTTTTTCCCAATCCAGATTCTCTGCAGATACTAAGTGGTTCTCATGCTTAAGGCTTCTATTTGCAGACTAATCTGCAACACAGTAGGGAGCTACCTCAAGGAGGCAGGGTATCTTCCAATCTGCTGCAAATCACAGAGTAGTGGGAAGAAAAAAGGAAAAGAAAAAAAAGCATTTGAAAGTGGAGCAGCATGCTGCAGCCATGCACCACAGATTAGTGATGCAACAATCAATTGGACAGAGATTGGAATAAGCTTATTTTTCCTTCATCGGCTCTGATCAGATTGGCAGTCTCCCATTCATTAAACCCAATCAATCTTGTAATTTTTCCTCCATCAATGCAGCAACCAACAGGATGTACTACAACCCATTCTCACTGCATCCAAAACAGAGTTGCATTAGGAAGTAACCTACATTCAGCATCTAGCAAATGATTTTAGAGTGGAGGAAAAAATCCTGGCATTTGAAAGTTGTGAAGCAGTGCATCCACAAAATGCACCAACCAATCAGACACAGAACTTTCCCCCTCACTGGTGATTTACAAATTTGCTTTTCCCCTAATATGCAGATGAAATAAAATCTCACCATTCTTTAAGAAATTTATCAACCAAAAGCATCTTTTATAATTCCCTGCAAATGGTTATTACTATGAATAAATCGGTACAATCATACAATTTCTTCAGATTCCAAACTAACATCTCCATCAAAGGACCTGCAGCACAATTTTCACATGCATTAGTCCTTAAAGGGCAAAAATTGAAAATTGGAACCAGCAGTTTAAGTCGACCAATAGAGCAACAACAAAATGGTGCAGAAAGCCTCAAAAGGCGCCTTGCAAGAACATCTTTGACCCAAAACAGTGTCCCTTTGTGACTAGCCCACATTCAATTCAAAAACTCGACAGAGGCTGCAGTTGTTTTAATTTGCTCAAAGGGATGACCCTAAAAAAAAGAGGCCTGAGGGTTAGTGTCGTTTTAACCTCTCACCACAATGTAAATGATCGCAGAAAAAGGCTACCACACACACACACACACACACACACACACACACACACACACACACACACACACACACACACACACACACACACACACACACACACACACAAAACACCACGACTGTAAATCTAGTTTCGCATGCCCTCATTTGGCTAATTCTGTGCCTCGATGTAGGCCAAAGAAGAGGGACAGATGGGAACGTCTTCCCTTCCTGTCAAATCACTTACATCTCGAACATGATCTCGTTCAGGTAAATCCCGTCCACCAGCTCGACGTATTCCGACAATTTACTGCCGTCGGTCACTGTCGAGTGCCCAACACTCTTTACCTATAAAAAAAATATCAATAAGTAAAATAAAATAAATTCACGTAAAGACAAACAATTCTGAGAGCACGTCTGAATATTTAATTGAGGGGGTTCCTTCTCCTTACCCAGCAAACCAGAGGCGAGAGCATGAACTGCTCCAGCAGTGGGGTGAAAACCTCGTTTTCCATCTTATTTTTGGCTGATATGTGGAGGGAAATACGAGTGAAATGTGCCTTTATTTACACTCCGCTCATGTTGCTTATTCGACCTTTATTAGGGGTAAAAACAAAGCCAAGGAAAAACTGGGGGGTTTCTTTAATAAAGAGGGGAAGAAAGAAAGAAGGAAAAAAAAAACCTTTAATCCTCAATCTTCTCGACACGACCCAGCTGTGTCAGATGCCAATGAAGGGGCTTGGCTTCCTCCCAGGAAAAAAAAAGAAAAAAAGAAAAGAGAGACATGGAATCACATTTTTCTAAAATTAAAAGTTTGAAACAAAGAATGGATTCTGTGATGCAAGGTCAGCCGGGTTCAGACAACTCTCGGCACGAAACGCGGTCAAATGCGGCGGACCTGTGCCAGGTGAGCTGTGGCGGCGGAAGACTTCAGCGCATCAGAGACGGTTAATTGAAGGGTAAATATCCCGCGGCGAGGCAAATACACGCACACAAATCCAGACGTTCCAGGGTCCTGCTTCCCCGCCAGTCGGTTCTCCTCTCGCGTTTGTCAATAAAGCGACTCCCAGACGTGGCCTGCGAGTCTGACTCCCTTCAGACGCCGAACACTGACTGAGCTGAAGAGTTGAGAGGATGACTGGAGGACGCGAAGAACCGCCTCCCTGATCGCCGAGCATCTCCCTCCGCCCTCCCTGCTCAAAGAAAAACTAGGGCATGGATCAAAGCATCCTCTTTCTGTTCAAATTTCCTCTGAGTCACTGCGAGGACTACTTCTTAGTCAACACTTTATCTCGCAAGTCATTTTTATGTATTAGGCTCTGGCTGAATGTGCGGAAAGGAAGCAAACCAGCTCTTTTTCTAAATAAAAAAGCCCCCAAAACAAATATGTTTATATTCTCTGCACTGGCATAATTTAGATCTTAATGAATATGCGTTTGCTCATTGCAGTTCCATTTAAGCATGCACAGAGGTCATACTTATTACCCCCTTTGTCTGCAGCAGTTGCGTGCAGCACATGAGAAAACCCAGGGATGCTACTGACACCTGGTGGGTAAACACTGAACTCATACAGTCGTGGACACGTGTGTCGCATCCTTGTATGTAAAATAAATTGATTTTATTTTTTTTATCTTCGTAGCATAGTCTTACACTGAAAATCTAGGAACTTCTAAATTGTGGAAAACCCTGAGCTGCAGAGTTTTGATTCCCTGTGTCCAGCAAAGAAAACATCAGTGTGTGCGAACCGATCCATGGGTTTAATGCCCTCCCCACAGCCAAAAATATACAATAACTTCATAGTTTTCAAACATTTGACAACTGTTTATATTCATAACAATTTCAAAAGTATTAATAGAACTCATCTAATCTAAGAGATTATTATTATTATTATTATTATTATTATTATTATTATTATTATTATTATTATTTTACATATGAAAACCTTTTCATGTGAAACTTTCATATAATTCCCATATCAATCGCTGATATGGGAATTTGGGAAACAGAGTTTCAGAAGTGTGTAGTTTGAAGAAAGGTGTAAGAGTTCAGCTAAAACTGTCCCTTTAGGCAGCCTTTCCACAGAAGTTGGATGAAACAATAAAAGTAATAAAGACTTCTTTAACAATGACTTCCTAAATCATTTATAGCTCTTTAACTTTTTACTTTACGAATTGAAAGTATGTCCCTAAAAGCTGCGCACATTTCGGCAACTTTTATTTCAGAAATCACTTTTCAAACTCAGCCACACATTCTCAGTGGCTGAGAATTCAGACCTGGAGTTTGACAGAAACCTTCTAACACAAGAATATTCATGAACTTAAACCATGCCAATGGTGTTAGTTCAGGGTGGTAGTCCTGCTGGTAAGGTAAACATGAACGTCCACATTTGATATATGACCGTTAACAAATTGCAAGCAGGATTTTGTCTGATTTTCATTCAACATCTTTCCTCTTGCCCTTCTTCTCTAAAGGCCGGATTTGTACAGTGTATGACAAGTAGTTGTGGTGTTTCTTCTAATTGAGCTTGGATTTCTGCTACTAGTTTTTCTCTGTAAAAAAAAGTAAATCACACTGGGGTAACGAATGTGCGCTCGCTGGTGCGCACACACACATGTGTGCGTGCATGTGTGTGTGTTTATTCGTCTTTTGCAAGAGGATTAGATTCTATTCACTAACTTGGTGACGTCTGAAGCCAATTGGTCACTCACCATTCTATTTGCGAGTTTCAAAGTAAAGGGGCTAAATACAAGAACACACCACACTTTTCAGATTTTTATTCGCCTGTAGATTTTCTAAGAACATCCACTGCCGACTTTAAAACTCCCAGTGAAGTCCTGATTTTAAAACGTAGTTAAGACGTGACAAATTGTGGAAAACTTAAACGAGAACTTAAAACACTTTTACAGAAGATATTGTAATTTTTCTTGTGTGAAACAAAATCTTTTGGATCTCTACAAATGAAGTATTTTTATTCCAGTATATTATGTATATATTTAAGTGCATTTATTCTCCCTTTGCTAGGGCGCCCACACACATCTCTTACTAACGCCCATCTCCTTAGCAGACAATTAAACAGTGACGCACCTAATGAAAACCTTTCATCGCTGGTGTCGCTGCAGCTTACCCACACAGCAGCCAGAACACAGTCATTTTCTGCTCTGTCACTGCGGAGACGCGCGGTTTCAAGCTCGGGGGGGTTTGTTTGTTATCGTGCGTTCGCGTTTATATGGATCTCTGTGGAATTCATCATCATTAACTCTGAACCGAACGGGGCCTTTGTTCCATCCTCGTCAACATCTGTTGCTCACGGTGCTTTCAACGACTTTCCCAAAGCAGCTTCAGCTTTCATCCGATGAATCAGGGAGTTTATAGACCCACCGCCACATTCCTCGCTTGCAGCACGATAGAGGCAGGGCTTCCTGTAAGCCCGCCGATCTCATTTTGAGTTTTCTTCTGCGGTGTAGTGAAATGTTCTTATTCTCTTAAAAGTTAGTTTTGTCACTTAGATCCATGATTTCTGGAGCAACGTTGCTTGCTGACTAAGAACCCAGATGACCTCAAACCCCTCTCACTGCTGAGATTCTCTTGAGTTATTTTACAAGAATTTACAAGTCACCACAAGCATTTTTATTTGGAGCTGGTTCTGCACAGCGGTTCTGGCTAATGTCGAGTGGAAGTTTCATTTTTCATGCAGTGACATTTAACCCACAGTGATCTTCCCTGCGTTCTTGTTTCAGAGTTAAGTCAGGAAGTTCAAAATGTGGCTTGTCGAAACAAAAGTTTTACGAGTTTTGAAACATGACTTACTTAAAACACTTTTGCTATGTGAAAAGCTAAGCAAGCACTTGCAGTGCCAAAATGTATTAAATAAAATGAAGTAAAAAAAAAAAGATCTGTCAACAAGCAATTGAAAGATATATTAGAGACATCATTGAATATGAAATTATTTCATAAAGAAATCAAATTCAGTTCAAATCACATTATTGACAATTCTATTTTTCATTTTCACTTTACAATACAGTACATCATGACTAATTCAAATTACTCGTAAAGTAAATTCTAACATCTGGTTTGATAATTAGTCCACGTCACACTTAAATAGGAAGTGTTTAAAAGACAATGTTGTGTAAATAAATGTACATTTGAAGGTTTCTTAAGGTTTGAAGGTCAACCTGAGGACATTTGGAGATTATTTTTACTGAAATATACAGCCATTTTACAGGGTTGTTCATTAAAATAAAAATCTAAATGTATGACTACACAGTTATGGAGTCTTGAAAATAAAATAAAAAATAAAAACCCTGCAGCCACCACACATATACATTACTCCTGCATCCCATAGAGAAAACACAGACACTAAATTATTTATATGTGTCACTTCAGTGTTTGCTCATAAGGCAACTCTGACATCCACTCTATCTTTGTCCTGTCGTGTTGTGATGGGAAAACAACTCTCAGAGGATCCATTCAAAATCAAGATGGATGCTCCCAGTCAGGTCAAGACTGTAAAGCAATAAATGGCCATGCAAGTGAAATATGTTATATTCTGCAAAGACGCTGAGAAATAATGACACAGCATGAAAATGACTGAAAAGTCATTTATTCCGACCTAAAAATGGATCTTTTTATTTCATTTCCTATGTTGTTTAATTGTTTACCGAACTATGAACTATAATGTTTGGATTTAAGTCACATTTGAGATTTATGAGATCAAAAGCTTATCCAATGTTACTGTATCAAATATTATTTTATATTTGGGATTGATATGAGAAAAATTGAATGCTTTTGGGGCGTTTTGTTACGTTTAAATGTTTCAGACTACAAAAGAAATATAAATACCATAGAAAGAATAAATTTTAAAAAATCCAATTTCCAAATGATGATTTTAATTACCAGTGGAAAACGAAACCAATGAACTGTTTGCTGTAACAACTGTTACCAGGTATTTGCGATAATTGCCTGAGTCTAGGCCGCCCTTAAATATTAACTTAGCTTTTTTTCTCTCCCCCAAATCTTTCAGATCATTTGTTGCTACTTCACAGACAATAGTTCATTTCTGAGTGGCTGAATTTTCTGCTTTGAAGCTTTCTGTTTAAGAGAAGAATTCATGTTTCCATTTGCTCTAGTAAGTCATCTGGGCCCTGAAGCAGCAAAAAGCCCCCAGATCATGACACTACCACCACCGTGTTGGACTATAGGTGTAATATTCCTTTTCTGAATTACTGCTGTACATTTCTTTCATCAGTTCAAAGAACAATTTCTCTTAAGTTGAAAGGATTATAAAGAAATGCTTGGTAAATATCAGTTACAATTTTGGGTTCTTCTTGGTCAGCAGCTTTGTTTGTGGTCTTGAAATAAGAGTAATTTTATCCCAGCTTCCTTATTATCGTTAAATTGTGAACGCTGAGCTTAACTGAGGGAAGTGAGGTCTGCAATGCTTTTTGTAACCTTTGCCAGACTGATAAATGTCAAAAACAATTATTTCTCCGCATGTGGGCACGATGTGTTGCCTTGTAAAATATCTTGGCCTACTTTATGTCATCTGTGAGGTTCTCTTTGAGTTATTTCTGGAGTTCTGATCTGATATTTTTAGACAGCTTTAATGCTGGGAGACTTGTACGACTGTATTCCTCCCAATGCGCAAATCTTTCAACAGTTTTCTTTTACTTTCTTCACGTTCATCCGAGAGAGGAGCCATGTGGAAGTTTGCCATCTGCCATAATGTAATTATCATGCTTCTGACAAAGAAAATTATGTCCCACCAGTTCAGGGTGCCAAGAGCTGTCTCTCCAGCTTCTATCATGCCTTTGCATGTCAGTAAGATCATTCACAGGGATTTTATTACTAGAAAAGGAACAATAAAACCTCACTACAGAGAGCACCATGATACAAACTGAGCGTTATTGACGATAAAACTCTTTTCGCCTAAGGATGAGTTTCTCTTGGAATAGCAGATCAAACCTGATGAGTCTCAAACAAAATGTATTACAAGTCTGCACCGACTTCTCATAGGAGACATAAACTCCATGTGCATGTGCAGCTTGTTCAATGTTGCAGCCTGAAAACAACAACAAATTCATGCAAACACACTGAGTATTGAAGGGGTGAAAACATACAGACGCTTAA